ATCTGCCTCTGATCAGCCAGTCATCCAGCCTTACCTTCACAAAGGAGCCACTACCACTGCTAAGCATTTTACAGCACCGAGTATACCTGTGGAGAGTCCAAATAGCAGATCCTTTGTACTGCTAGCGATTTGGTCAGACTGTAAATCTCAAGTACTTCCTGTGGGCTGGGATGGAAGTATATATCTGGAGTACTGTGTCCAGTTTTGGGCCCCACACCACAAGAAGGATGTGGAAAAATTGGAAAGAGTCCAGCGGAGGGCAACAAAAATGATTAGGGGGCTGGAGCACATGACTTATGAGGAGAGGCTGAGGGAACTGGGATTGTTTAGTCTGCAGAAGAGAAGAATGTGGTGTGTGGGGGGGAGGGTTGATAGCTGCTTTCAACTACCTGAAAGGGGGTTCCAAAGAGGATGGAGCTAGACTGTTCTCAGTGGTACCAGATGACAGAACAAGGAGTAATGGTCTCAAGTTGCAGTAGAGGAGGTTTAGGTTGGATGTTAGGAAAAACTTTTTCACTAGGAGGGCGGTGAAGCACTGGAATAGGTTACCTAGGGAGGTGGTGTAATCTCCTTCCTTAGAGGTTTTCAAGGTCGGGCTTGACAAAGCCCTGGCTGGGAGGATTTAGTTGGGGATTGGTCCTGCTCTGAGCAGGGGGTTGGACTAGATGACCTCCTGAGGTCCCTTCCAATCCTGATATTCTATGATCTTGCTGCTGAAAGCAAGGAAGCAGTCTTGAGCCTGAAAAGATGGGATGTTGGAGGCAAGGCTTATCATCCTGAACCTGAGGTGGTGTACATATTTGTTCAGTCTCCTCAAGTGTAGGATGAAAACACCCCTTCTTCAGGATAAGGAAATAACAGTAATAGAAAGACTCTTGCCCTGTAATCATGAGGATCATCATCTGTGGCTCCCAGATGAAACCAGGCAACTTTTTGAAACAGGCTCTTGTAAGAAGAGTCACTGAAGATGGACAGGAAAGGAGGGTTGATGGGGGATGGGTGTGGGAGTGAATGAGATAGCCGTGGGCAATTGCCAACACCCATTTGATGGAGATATTGGACCAAGCCCAATGGAATGGAGCCAGGCTTCTCCCAAAGACTGCTGATGGCCACTTCCAAGAGTATCACCATCATTTTCAGGGTGGGTACTCTGGTTGCCTAACCTGAAAATAGGGATGAGCCCACTGTCTCTGCTAAGGCTGATATTTGTATGGCATCCTTAAGATGTTGGTGTATAAATTTCCAGTGACCTTGAGGAGGACCATGAGTCTTTTAAAAAGTGAACCACTTCATCTGTTCTTTTGCTGAAGAGCTTCCTTCCCACAAACAGGAGGTCTTTATGGTCTCTTAGCCCTCTCTTTAATATTTCAGATGCTAACAGCCAAGAGGCCTGCCTCATGGGTCACAAGCTTGGTTATCAACGTCGCAGATGTGTCAGAGGTGTTCATGGATAGCTGTCGGATTGTTCTGGCAACACTTAAAATGATTTAATTCCTCAGTGTCCCAAGATACTTTGACAGGAAGAGAGTCATGTTTTCCCAGATCAGGAAGTGAAACTGGCAAACGCCACTTGGGAGTTTGCCACATCGAGTTGCAGAGAGGTGGATGAGTAGGCTTTGCATTTGAACAGGTCTACCTTTTTGGTATTTTTCTCTTTGTGTGTGCCCTTCATCAATTTAGCTATTTCAGCTTACTGCAACTACCAACAATACTGGATTTGGGTGGGAGTGACAGTGGCCAAAGCTTTTTGGGGGAACCTGATAACACTTCTCCACCCACTTAGATGTGGGCTGAATGGTAGCTGGGGTTTGTCAGAGCTCCTTAGATGGTTCTAGTATGCCCTCACTGATGAGGAGTGCAATCCTAGGTGATGCAGTCAAAATGTAGACTTTATGGGATTTATCTCGTATGACTGTTTCAGTATCTATGATCTCAGTGATAGAAAATAAGAAATCCTCCAAGGCTTTAAAATAGCCAATTGCTGGAGCAGAGGCTGGTGTACCAGTCTCACTGAGCAACAAATGATGATTCTTTCAATGGAGAATGGGAATGCTACTGTTCTTCTGCCGCTCACACCACTGGGTGCGGACACTGCTTTCTGTTGTTGGTGGCCTGGGTAGTGATGTCACTTGGCAGCTTAATCTCCTCCTTTTTCTGGACATACAGGAGGGGGATCTGCTGTAGGACACCTCAGAGGATGGTCCCTAATATGGCCCATATTAGCCAGGAAAGCATGTTATATCAGTACTGACCTGGTTGTGACTGATTGTCACAAAGCATCACCATGAAAGAGATGATAGTGGCATTGAGCCAAAGCTCTACAGTATAGGCTTCTAGGGTTGCTCTGAAAAAGCAGCGGAGAGGCATTACTGTTCAATACCAGGAAAAAGCATAATCAGACACTAGTGAAGAAGAAGAATACTCTTCAAATGGTGGTGCTTTGGGTGCCATTCTGTTTTACCAACGATGTCGATGGAAGGATCTTGATGCTTTGAGAGCATCTCTCTGGCCCCTAACTGACACCAATGCTTTCATTAGTGCTAATGCCAGCTTCCTGTGCATCACTCCTGCCTTAGCAGAGGTCTTACACATTCTGTCCTTGGAAGAATGGTGGTTCTCCTCCTTACACAATGGTCTCTCTCAAAGTCTGAAGTCATATATGGATTCTGCCTTTTGATCTTGTCCTCGTGCTGGGGTATCAGTCTCAATTCTGAATCTGCCGGTCCAATGAGGGGTTTGTTGGAACTAGTCTTGATGTAGCAGCAAACCAAAGGCCCCAGTGCCAAAACAGTCTGTGTGATGTGGCTAGAGCTGATTTTGATGACGTCTTTTCCTGTTTTCCTTTCATGGCTGGTCCCTAGGCTGTACTGTCTGCTTGAGGGAGTAGTAGTTGACAATGACCCTTTTCGTACCTTGGAAGCGGTAATCTCCTTCAGGTGTGACAAGACTCTCATCAACTGCTCAAGTACGTGTAGTTTTAGCCACATGTCCCTTGACATGCGGAGTCCTTGTGGGTACTTGCACACTGAATACTTATGGCTATCCTTCAGACAAACCAGACATTGACCATGCCCGTGGACCAGGGGGATGAGTCTGTTGCAGGCTGGGCAGGGTTTAAACCCTGAAGATTTAGAGTCCGCCATGATGGTTGATGTGAGACACATCGCCCCACCATACAGGAGGGTATGGAGGTTTTGGGGTTTTTTTGGATCATCCAAGTCCAAGAAAATAGAGAATAAGAAGGATGAAAATAGATTTTCTTTACCAAAACTAGCTGAGAAAAAGGACAAATATAATTAGGAGTAGAGGGTCAGACACTCACTAGATTCCATCTTGCTGCCATGGGTGGTAAGAGGGAACTGAGGGAGGGTTGTGGCCACTGTTACTTCCACGCCCTCACATAGGAGGGCAAAGAGGCACAGGACACATGTGCAGCCCCAATGGACACAATTTTAAAAAATCCTGCGCATGATGCACACGCACAATGAGATCCATACTGACACATACCCAAGCACTCAAGTGTTATGAACTTTCTCCTACTTAGCCATGGTATCCAAAAATCTAGCACTGAACTTCAGTCTGTGATAGTGTCCAGGTTCTGGGTACAGTCAGAAGAAAAACTGTAGTGCTCTGCAGGCAATGGATGGTGCTAAAATTAATGCAACTAAATTGTTAATAAAGCTCTAATTACCAGTGTAGCTGTGTGTTTGCAGTGTAAAGGGAAAGAAAAGACGACAACAAAGGAACATCAAAGACAGGCTGGGAAGAGGGAAGGAGCAGGAAGAAAAGCACTTTAATGATGGAAAAATAGGTTCTTGCCCCCAGGCATACGGTAAACTGCACTATAACGCAGAAATATAATGACTACTATGTGCTGCCTAGAAAATTGTTTTCATTAGGTCAATAAGCCCCAAATATCACCTTAATTTTGACTATATAAGATTTAAAACTGCACAAGGGTCCTTTTAAAGCCATTTGCACACCATATTTAAATCAGTAAGAGTCCCCCCTGTGCCAAGTAGTGAAAGCAGAAAAGCCCCCCACCCCAATTAATCAATCAGAAAACGTATTATATATTTGCATGGAAAACACATGTATAGAAGCATCAAGGGCACAGCCAACGAAATCAAATAAGAAACAATTACTGAGACGGTGCAGAATGAAAGCCAAAACCAACAGTACTTGGACCTGGTTGAGCAACAGTCAAACTGATTGTTTTTCCTTCATTGTGTGACAGATGGAATTTTGAGAGAGTTTGGAAAGGAACAAGGATATTCAAAAGATTAAAACGTTTACAAATAGGAGCATTCTCATTGATATCAGGATTAAGGTTAGATCACCACACTGAGAACAGTGACCAAGTGGGGGGGGAAAAAACAATAAAAAAAATCACAGAATAAGTGATTATATCTACAGCACCACAGAGGGAAATGTGCAGATAGATTTGTAGAGAAAGATTCTGATTTCATTTTTTCGTTTCTACCTTTTGAGCTGCTGGGATGGAAGAAACTTGGTTTGTTTGATGGGGAAAGGGGATGACTTGGTTTGGAAGCAGTACTGTTGGCATTGACGGAGGGTGGCTGGAATGAGGTGGAAAGAAAGATGCCATCTGAGACTGGGCGCGGCTGGCGGAAGGGCTGCTGTGGCGGAAGGGTGGCAGGAGGAAGGTCACCATAAGATTTTCTTGTGCTGGAGTACTTATCCTGACCTGCTAGAGTGGAATCCTCCTCCTCATCATCATTGTATGCAACAAACTTGGCAGTATAAACTGTGTCAGGGGAGAGGACCTGTGTTTTGAGGTAAGAGGTGTTTCGCTGAGGTGGGGGAGGAGGAGCATTAGATGAAGGGGGTGGGGGTGGGAGCTCATATTCCCGTGGAAGCGGAGGTCTGTACAGACCAGGCTCGTCAGGTTCCAGTAATCTTCGTCCTGCCTCATCATGCTGTCTGCGCCTTTCAGCTTCCAAACGGTTGTAATACTCCTCCTCCTGTCGCCTCTGTAGGCCCGTAGGAAAGAAAAGTGCAGTGATCAGAACAAGAGAAACATTTAAATATAGGATGGATTCAAGTTTTCCTCCACAAGAGCACTGAACAGATCCCTCATCTCCCTTCCCCAGCAATGAGTAAGGAAGCCACTCCAAATCATTATACGAAGAGTATGTTTACTAATGTGAAAATGAGAATTGTCCTGTAACACAATATTAATTCTGAGTTATTTCTGGAGTTGCTGCATGCTCTATGCTGACAACATATTTGTGTTAACAGAAATAAAGCTGTACTGACTAAAGGAATTCCCTGCACTCATCTTTTATAAAGTTAGAGTTGATAAAGTAAGGATTTAGCAAAGCTGCGAAGTATTTAAGAAAGAATGAAAACAAATATAATGGGTCATCTTAGAAAGGAACTTTGGAAGAGAGTACAACTCTGCCTTATCCCTCCTGAATAGGTCATCAACAGAGCTTTAGAGCTCACTGATTCTACAAGCCTAAGTTATAGATATTACAAAAATAACTTCATGCAAGGACAAGTTGTGACTTGTGCAATTTAATTTTTTTTAAAAATGCTTTAATAAATCTCTTGAAGTGTCTTCTACAAATTCATGAAGAAAATGCTACACCCATGATGTTTCTATAGGGCCATAATAAAAATAATCTGCACTGAACTCTTGGGTGAACTTGACAAATAGATATGCATAATAAAGATACAGTACGTATTATTTGAACTCTACCATCTCAGAAGCTACCATGTGACTACCATATGTGAACAAAGTTTCCTATATTTTTCCAGTTAAAGGGGTTTTTATTGTTCTGTGAAATAAAAACACAATTTTCATCAACACCTGTCAGAACTCCATTGTGAGCTAATAGATACTGATCTATTTTGGACTTTCACTATAAACTGTGACGGTCAAATTCTCTCATTTCTTGATTCACTAACTACTGAATATTTGTATTTTGCAATCACACAGGTAAAACATGATTTCTTGTTAAATTAAGAAATTTATAGTGTATAGTACAGCTTCTTGAAAAAACTTCTTGTAATTTGTGGCAGGGTGCCTAGAGTTTTGGATACGCATTTTTATAATCAAAATCAGTAAATAAATATATACCCTTCTTAAACAGCCCGAGAATCTTCTTAACTAAAGAAGTCAGAGCCGGTTACCCTTCTATTGGTTATGTATTTAATACTATTTTCCCTTTTGAAGGCTCTAGGGTATTTAGGTGGCACTAAATTTGTAACTATGTCTGTGACTTATATGTAACTGTCTCTGGGATAGATCAGATTTGCCAGTCATAAAAGCCTTTCAGCTGTAGGTGACCCAAATATCATTAGGATGTACCACATCACCAAAGTTAGAGATGGAGAATATCTATTTATTACTGATCAATCTTATCCACCCTCCACCTCTAACTTTCCTATGATACAACCTCCAGTACTTTGCTGAGTCCAGTTGTGTGTGTGTGATCCTAGTGGTGGGGTTACCACCACTTCCCCGCAAAACTATTCTGTTTTAGATTTTCTTTTGCTCATTTTCAGTGGTGTAGGAATAATGGTCTGACAAACAGGTCTTAAACCTTTTACATTTTTTCCCTACTTGATCTTCCAAGCAGGAGCTCCGCCTATCACTAGAACATCCTTCTCCATTCTGAAGTCACAGTTTCACTAAAATCCAAGTTTTCATTCTGAAGAAACCAGATTGTCACTGCTCAAGTGAAATCTTACAGCGGGTGGGATGGTTCTACATTTACCACACAGAGTCAAATAAAAAGATTGAGATCTTAAGAAATTTATCATAAAAATTTTAGAACATCATGTATGAGTTTTTAAGGGACACAAAAGTCTGGAATTTTGGAGTGTACCTAACTGTATAGTGATCCAATTTCCTGCTAGATCATATTCAGGTCTAATAGCTTCCTGCATAAAAGAACCAACTCTGAGTAATTTTTTCCCCAGATTCAAACAAATGTAACAAAAACACGGTGGAGCATTCTCTCCACTTCTCCATCTCTGAATTCCATACAATATATTTTTCTTTTTGTATAAAAAATAGGTCTTTCTAAAACCTACTACATCAAACTTAGCAATTTTTTGTTTCTGCTTTTAAGAACACTGAATGTTAGTGAATTACAATAAAGTACCCAAAGACAATATGAAGCTCTTCTATTGAGTCACCATAGTCTCAGGTGCTAAAACCCTGTGCTAAGTTCCAGGATGATTACTGCTGGGGCAGGCTGGCAGGTCAGTCAGCTCCAACGCAGACAAAAGCAGCGTGGGAATGTCTCTTTCAGGCAGAAGAAAATAGAAAGCCAAGGTAGAGAACGCTCTGAAGGTAAACTCTAGCAGTGACAACTAAGCTCAGGGAGGACACTTAGCCTGAGATTTCTGTTGTGTTATTGTTTGTGAGTTACCAATAAATGCAAAAGCCATGAATGACATGAGTCTGGACATTTACCTAGGGTCTGTCTCTTCTATTTTGGATGGTAGAGGGTCTGAGCCCATGAATATTACCATCATGTTAATATATTCACCTCCCCCCTACAGCAAAACCAAATTGTTAATGGTCAGGCTAAGTAGGTGAAGCCCACAAAGAATTCTTGCTGCACTCAGAGGACCATAACCTTTTCTTCAGCCTCCCTCTTGGTCCGCTCCTCCTCCTGGCGCCGGCGCTCTTCTTCTTGCCTGGCCCTATCTTCGGCTTCTCGCTTACGCATCTCTTCTAACTGTTGCTGCCGTCTACGCTCTTCATCCTGTAACTAACAAAGACTTGTCTTTAATTGTTTATGAAATCACCTCCCCCTGGATAAGTCAGAGCACATACCCGGAGCATTCATTTTAAAAAGTGACCAGTTTAATGCAAAACACTACACTACAGCAGACCAGTAAAGTTTTCCCTGTCCAACTATAATTTATTACATTATATTTTCCCTGAAAGTCCCTAAAAACCATACAGAACTTCTAATAATTGTTGCACATAAAGGATGAGAAATGTATAGGAGGAAATGTACTGCTTTCTTTTCACTGCTGAATTTTACAACAGCTGTACACAACCAGAGAGACTTTTGGGGACACAGACTGTTCAGTTCCACCTACATTTTGCCATTATGGGAAATTCTACATATAGTTAACTAAAGTGAATCAGCAGAACTCTATTAAACTACCTCTATTAAAAAACTACCTTGCTAGTATGATTGTACATATGCGTACTGGACCCCTACAGAGGTACAGTTTGACTTACAGTCCAGACCACTTTAGTAACAAGAGTTTCACAGGTGAACTGAAATTAGACATTTGGAATCAACATTCCACAGCTCCACCAGCTACCAGCGTGTTTATTTTAGATTGGGATTAAAGCATTGAAAAAGCATGACGTTTTAGTCAAGGAGTCAATCCATTTAAAGTAAGAGGCTCATGTGGCAAGTCTACAAATACCCTCAAAAGATAATAAAAGTCTCCCAGTGTTTCTACAACAGATGCGCACTAGGAAAACAGACAACAAAGCAAAGTCTTTGGCTACTTGAATCTAACACTGCTAATACATAAACCTCAGATAAATGTAGATACAATTGTCTATCAGACATTATAACAACAAGACACTAATCAGACAAATTAGGACCACTACAAATATATTTTTGCATGGTTCACTGAAGCGGTTCAGGAACTGCTGCCTATGGTAGAGAGAGTAGTCATTGGAATAACAATGTATCTCTAAAGTACAGAAATTATCTGCCATCTAAGTTGAGTCATGGTTCTTATTGCTATGAGCTTATATTTTTACATTAAGCTTTTCACAGTAAGATTAAACTGATTTTACTTCTGTGTTTCCTAAAGTTGTCATAATGTTTACATGTGGTTTTCTGCTAAATATATTCAGTCTACTCTTGTTCACAGTCAAGCAGTTCATGTACATACATGGTATGTCTACACGCCAATTAGACACCCGTGGCTGGCCTGTGCCAGCTAACTCGGGCTCATGGGCTGTTTAAGTGCAGTGTAGATGCTGGGAATCCAGCTCCAGCCCAAGCTCTAGGACTCTCCCACCTTTCAGGGTCCTAGAGCCTGCGCAGCAGCCCGAGTGTCTATCTACCCCGACAGAATACAGCAACAGTGGGAAGAGACCATGATATTTCTGCAGCGAATCTTCATGTAAGGGATCTAAATTCTCTCCCTATTTCCCGTCAATTTGAGCATGTAACTCCCATTAACACCAAGAGAAGGGAGGATATGCATTTGAAGACAAAAGACCCTTTAAACTTTCATTTTGATATCCAGTGTGTCAAATATTGAGTGAAGGCTTCCTAATGTTGCAATGGAATTTTTTAAACTGAATCTAAATGAGTCTATGGTTCCATTAAATGATTGCCATCAGATTTATAAATACACAATTTCTTGTTAAAATATTTAACCTAAAAATTGAAATACCTAGGCAAAATTCTTTAAAAACAGACCTTTTTAAAAATATTCAGTTTCTTTTTTATCTGACTGCCAGTTCAGGAAGGATTAGTTTCTTTGCTAACGCCCTGAACACTGGATTTACTTACATGTATCTGGTGGTGTCTGATTGTAGGTTACATCCTCTGTAGAGCACTCTCATCTCATATACCCTTACATGTATAACTAAGTCAGCTGATTATCAAGCACGCATTTCAAAGCTGAGAATTCCTCTGATTAGATAATCAAAGTTACAAACATCAGAGTGTGCTAATCTTTCAAGACCAGTTCATGGTCATCAAAGTGATCGATTTATTTATTTTTTTAAATAAAAATGATTTAGTATTCATATTGGCATGTATCCAGTGAATATTTTTCAGAGGATGTTACCTTTGAACTCCAGTTACAGGAAAGTAAGTTGCTTTTATAGTTTTTGACGCTACACAAAGGTAGAGGGAAGGCTCAAATATACTCAGTACAATAGGGAAAGCAACTAAACAAGTTTTACAAAATATCTGTTATACAAGAATGGATCTGTTAATAAAAAAAACTTATCACAATTAAAAAGCCTATTGGAATAAAGATCTCTTCTTCCCTTCCCCCTTTTACAACAATTCACCAATTTAGCATAAGAATTAATCGTATGGTACCAAATAATGATATGGAAGGGCACGAGATAAGAAAAATTCAGAAAAAAATCTCCTCAAGAAAAATACTTTTCCACTCAAAGAAAAAATTGGCAAAAATAAGTCTTAA